TTTCTACCTCTCTTAAATCCCTCTCCTTATTTTGCTTAGGGCCACAGAAACAAGAAAATATGTACTTACAAAGTATATAATCATAAACATTTTATTAGAGTAGATATAAATACACATCTCCTAATTCCAATAAAATTTAAAAATAATTACCTGTGTCAATGGTTCCACTGACCCAATGTATGTATCAGGACGAAGGAGAATGTGTTCAAGTTGTGTCTTTTTCTGATACACTCTCTCAACAGACAACTTCTTTGAAGAATCATTTCTGTTTGCAGTTTCTGACTCTTCTTTTTTTGCAGCATTGTTCTGATCAAAAAGAGTCTAAAATTAACCAAAAAATCAAATTTAAATAACCTACCAAGGGGTAAACTAAAATGTTTACGGACACATGACATAATTTTGCTGTTGAAGAGAAAACCTATCTTTCAGGCTCACTGATTTTTAGTCCTAAGAGAACAGCACATTTACTGACAGTCTAGTTCTTTTTATAACACTAGAGGCCCAATGCATGAAATTCGTGCAAGGGGCTCGGCCCTCGCAGCCCCGCTGGTTTAGTCCAGAAGGTCGTCTGGAAGGTCATTCTGCTGTTTGGTCTAATTAGAATATTAGCTCTTTATTATATAGGATAGTATGAAACTGCAGTTTTGACTGAGCCCAAAAAGTGGGTACACATATTCACCAGAGGAGCTAGGACAGCCTACCTATATTCAATCCAGAAATATAAATATCTCCTAATTCTGTAAGATAATCAACATAATTTTTCTAGTTCTCAAAACTACCCAAGAAGTGTGAATTCTGATCAGGTTACAAGTTTACAATGACTGAACCTTGCTGGCTACAAAGGTCCCCAAAACTTCCAAATTAAGTTCCTTCCATTAACCTGCTGAAGATTATGGTAAAGAGTGGGCAAAAGTAGCTTAAATAAAATAGTGACCTATGTAGTTAGTATATACTGATATGGTTGAGAATAAACACTAAACATGTTTTACAAAATGTTAAATTCCTCACTTTTGCAGGTTATGCCATATTCCTTACATTTCAGTGAGAGGTGCCCCATTACTGAGACACCCTATAATTCCAGTTTCTCTCTAATTCCAAGGAGGCAGAGTTTGGTGATCCTGATTCTAACTATTATAGGAAAGTAGAGGCCCAGTGCATGAAAATTCATGCACTGGAGAGAGAGGGTCCAGTACATGGATTCGTGCACATTGAAAGGAAATTAGAATATTTTAATATCACTATTTGCCCTTTCTCTATAATAGAAGTGTCGGAGATGAAAGAAAATTAGTAAAATGTATATGAAAATAATATATAAATTGATTAATAAATAACAACATGATATAACAACAAAGACATGCCATAAAAATGATATGAAAACAAAAACATGATATAAAAACAACATTCTGTCTGTCGCCAATGCAGGCTCGGGGAGGGACTGTGAGGAATCGGCCTCCCTCCTCCCTCCTGTCAGGGTTGGGAGTAGGGGGGCCGTATGGGGGTGGGGCTGGCCGG